TGCACGACGAAAACAATCGTACTTCGTTCTCTTAGAGCAAGATTAGGAACGAAGAAAGAGTAGAACGAAGAAGGACCGCCCGGGTCAAAAATGACCCACTAGCAACATTCTGAAAGTGAATTTTAATGTGATTTGAAACGTGATTGAAAAATTTGTTTCATGTTGATGCCAATAGAAGTAAGCAGAAAATACAGTTGGAAAGTTGTAAGCGATAATACTTATCAGTACGGAAAATTCACCTTTTTTTTGGAAAGTTGCTAATGGTACATTTTGACCTGACTAGTAGTGGAGAAGGTCTAAATATAGGCTAGCACTTTTATTTCGGGATTTATTGTCAAACCTGTGGGTGATTTTTAAGATATGACACTTGAATATATATCAATAACATGTTTACTATATGATACGAAATAAAAATAAGCTTAACTATCTTTAGTTTTAGAAAGGTGGTCTAAATATGGACCACTCGTAAAATAATCGAAATGAAAAGTAAGAACTGCATATTTTCAGGTTGAAATATTAGGTTGAAGTTTATCTACATATAAAAATGTAAACTTAAACTTGAATGCTATTTACAATCTATTTACAATAGTCACAAACGTATATACCTTTCTTTTGAATGTTTTGGTATTTTTCTTATTAAAATTCTCATAGTCACCGAATTCTAATATTGGCTAGCCCATATTTAGATCATGTGATCAGAAACGCTTAGAGCGATGGTATTCATTACAAAACTTGAACTAAAAAGAAGCTTCCAATGTCAGCAATGTCAGCTTAGTTAATTTCCTCTTAGTTTAACATGTTGACTGCCACGGTGGTCACATGTGACCGCAGATTGTTTCTCCCGTAGCGCCACGGTGGTCATCGGTGACCGGAGTGCTTCAAATGTTTATAATTGTAAAAGTTGAATGAACATTGACAGTTAATGAATTTTGAACATCATCGCTGATTAGAGAATACTTTGAAATAAAATGTGCACTATACAACAATTAAAAATTTTTACTGGAAGATCAAAAATGAGAGATTAATTTTTATCAAATCTTCTATCTACCGGTGTATTGTATTAAAGCATTTCAAACATAGATGCGGCTGATCGATACAATCTGGGCAGTATGTGGTAACCTTTTTGGTCCGATTTTTAGCAATCTTTGTTCCAAAACTTGCAAAATTTTTTTGATAACATTCTTTGCAAAATTTTCGCACCAAGTATGCTGGCCCTTCCGTTTTTTGCATCTCATGTCGTAATTTTCTTCGGATAGATATATTTGATGGCCCTGGTGTAAATAAATATTCCAAAACAGTTATCAAGTGTCATCGAGTACACCAAGGAGCCGCGGTGGTCACCCGTGATCACCAGAAAGATAAACGCCCCATGGGTAAGAATGTTGTTTTATATAACCATATTTATTATTATTTTGCCATTATATGCTTAGAATAATAAAAATACATTTATGGCGTCCTGAGCAAAACATGTGATTTCGGCGTGGCAGTTAACGTGTTAATAGATTACTGCTGAAACAATAAAACGAACTTACCTGAAAAATGTTTTGAAATAGCGAAATAAGAGAAATGACACGTTTTGCAACACAACATGTAAACAAAATAAACGCAGGTCACTATTTCCTCCGTAACACGTATTTTGTTTACATCTCGTAGTTTCATCCTATTTTCAATAAAGTCAAGCACTTAACATATTCAATACTTCAACTAGCCCATATTTATTCCTTCTGCTCCTTCTAATGCGAAAAACGAAGATTTTCGGAATATGAGTTTCTCTTGGAATAATTCGTAGGATAATTTATTTTACCTAACACTGTAATGGAACTGGAGACCAACATGGCGAGCAGCCATACGGTGGCGATTTTGAAACCGACCATCCGCTTAGTGGATGTGTGCCGAGTCCTCAGTGGGTTCCGGATGCCCAGGTACCTTCCCAATGAGATGAAACACATGTGCATTATACTCGCGGAACAGGCCAGCACGTCGCATGTCACGTAAACGTTGCACCATAGTACACCAAATGGCCAGTATCCTGCGATAATAAAATAAGAATGATCCTTTCAGCATTCTGTGAAATTTTCAGAAAAACAGTGTCCTTTGGGAATTCTGAGAAACATTGAAAAATATTGCGGGATTTGGTAATTTACGAGGGAGTCGACTCACTATTATTATAAAATGTAAGTATAATTAAAGTAAGGAAAGTATTCTGTTATAATAATATAATAATGATCCTTTCAGAATTCTGTGAAACTTTAAACAAAACAATGTCCTTTGAGAATACTAAGAAACATTGAAAAATATTGCGGGATTTGGTAATTTATGAGGGAGTCGACACAATTCAATTATAAAATATAAATATAATTACAGTAAGAAAAGAAAAAATATATATATTCTACAACGAAAAATAAAACAAAAATATAGAATACAAATTTTTCATAGGAATCATAGTTTTCAAGAAAATAGAATTTAAAGATTCGGGAGTACGCGCGCATTTAACTGTCACTCAGCTTTATGTTTATACCAACAAGTAACGTCAATGTAACGATAAGTACTGATAACACGTTTATCAACAATTTCCTTAATTTCAATTTAGAATACTGAACGAACTGTTGCAAGCGACGTCTTTGTTGATGTATGCAAATTCTTGCTCTTTAAATTAGAGTCGTGGAGTAATGATACTAATGAAAGTATGAACAGAAGCAACATTTCACAGCGGATCTTGAAATTTAATCTTCTCAAAAACTAAGCTCCTTATGAATAAATTTTATTCTACATTGTCGTTTCATTTTTACACGTAGAATCACTTTTTGCCCTGTTGTTTTTTCGTCCCGGTTCACCCGGTATATATCCACTTGAAACGCACTTCGTAGGTCGGTTTTCTCTCTGTTACACCCTCAAATATTTTCATTCTTAGTCCTTAGTTTTATCTGTATTCACAACTAGTCATCCACTTTCACCATTACTCATACTGGACTCCTCACCTTCCAACTCTCCTCTCAACTCTCCTGCATAACAACCCAAAGTCCATCTTCCCAGAACCCTTAAATAGCCCTATTTTCTCCTTATCCGCATTCATTCTCCATTCTACCACGCGCACGTCACGTATCATCAAAAATCTCTGTTAAATAAAGTTCTGTTTCCTAGTTTGCTCCTACTAACTGCTCCTAGTTTCGAAGAATTGGAGTAAACCGAGCATCACATCTCGAATGGTTCCTTTAGGACTGAATTTCCCAAGGAAAAATACGCACTTTCGCCTTTTGCATTCACACATACATATATGTATTATATTTACAGACATCGCAGTTTCTTAAAATTAAACAAATCTCTTGAAATTCAAACCTAACTCTTAGTCTACACACGCCTGGGCCAACGCTGCAATCGCACAATAGGTGCTACTTTTCTCGGTCATTCGTGCGATACTACAATATGTACTTTGTCCAGTTTGGTGGAGAATATCGTTTAAATGCAATGGAAGTTTACCTGTGTTTTTCTGAATTTCAAAAATTCCGGCAGAATTGTAAATATTATACTGTCTCGCAACGTAAATTTAAGTAAATTAGGTTGAACTGCACAGAAAAAACAAACGGACGCAACATAACATGTAGTTACAATGGTTATGACATGTAAATAGAACGATAAATTTAGTGCAAATATAGAAAACGTATAATATAATTTATTTCATGGTATTGTAACAAGCAAACGTTGAATAAATTCCTAATTCGTATTAAAAAAATTATTTAACACAATAATTTCAGCTTTATTATGATTATTCTTGATAAATGACCACAGGTCAACTTCATTTTTAATCGTTATAATCTTTAAATTCAGTGTGAATAGAGAAAATGTGTAATATAATTCATTTCACGATATTATAACAAACAAACATTGACCTATGTTTCCATTGAAGAATATTGTAAAAACGTATAAATTGTTATATGCAATGTTATAACAAATTGTCGGAAGTATAAATTTTTAATAAAATTGTGAAAATTGATAAATTATACCGTGTTACGATATCGGAAATCTCCCGCGAAAATCTCCCGCGAAAATTTCCCGCCTGACCTAACCGACGATTTTGCTAATGACTTTGGGGAGAGGGTACCGCAGGTATATAAGGACCCGCCGATGTCCCGCGAAATCATTTACCCTTTATACTGGGCCCTAGACACTTCGCGGCGTATTTTGACCTGAAGGTTCTGAGATGTGAATAGAGTGGTCGGGGGCTACTAGCTAGTCTATGTCCACCCTGTACACACTCAGCCTTCTTGTAACACTTGTATACATTAGAATCAATTAGAATTTCTATTACTAATTATTAAACAAATTTTAACAATTACCGGCACTCGCTAGGCACGTAATATCAGACTTTAAATACTCGACTTCGAACTTCGGTTTAGTCATAATTCTATTAATGTTATAATAACGTATAATTTATTAATTTTCACAATTTTATTATTAATTTATACTTCCAAAAATTTGTTAAAACATTACATATTATTATTTATACATTTTTGCAAGTTTCTTTGACAAATAAGTACGTTTCAACGATCTTATTACTTTCTCGTTGTGAAATCAAGTTCGGAGGATTAAAAATCAGGTTGACCCTTGGTCGTAAATTTAAAATAGCCATAGTGAAGGTGAAATTATTATTTTAAATAAATGTTTCTATACGAATTAAGAATCTATTCAACGTTTGTTTGTTGCAATACCGTGAAATAAATTGTATTATATATTTTCTCAGTTTAGACTGAATTTAAAGTTCGTAAGGATTAGAAATCAGGTTGACCTGTGGTCGTAGATTAAAAATAGCCATAGTGAAGGTAAAATTATTACGTTAAATAATTGTTTTTATACGAATTAAATATTGATTCAACGTTTATTTGTTGCAATACCGTGAAATAAATTGTATTATATATTTTTTCTGTTTACACTAAATTTAAAGTTCTGTTTACATGTTATAACAATTAGAATGTAGACGTTTTGCCGTTTCACGGTTTTTCCTCTGTTAATTATGTGTTTATAAATCATTTCAAACTAAAGCAGCACCATGCCCACCCTTAATTAAACCGTCTCAGTAGTTTACCGTAATTAATAATCTATTTTCGGAATTTATACGAGAATTTTTGAATTTTAGTAAATACTAGAGTCAGTGCATCGCGTATTGAAATAATAGCTTATACAGATAATCTTTTGAAATTACTCTTAATTAGGGAAAATCTTGAATCTTGTATGGAAGATGAAGATTTTCAGGAAATATTTATTTTTCAACAATGAATTTTTGTTTTATCGATTAATAACGTACGAAATGATTTTTGGAAAATTTTCTTCGTTTGAACGTTCGTTTAAGGTTCGACTATGATTATCAAATCTCTCGAAACACCGTAGAATGTTCAATTTTAAAAGTAACTTCTTCAATTTTTGGATAATCTGGGTAACGTGTTAGTGTTGACGATACACTTTCGAGTATAGACGTTAAAGTTCATAGAGTGGTCGGGGGCTACTAGCTAGCCTATGTCCACCCTGTACACACTCAGCCTTCTTGTAACACTTGTATACATTAGAATCAATTAGAATTTCAATACAGTAGACTGAATAACAATTCATTTTAACTAATACCTATTAGAAATTTTGCTTTTAAAACAAATATAAATCATTTTACCAATTACTGGTACTTGCTAGACATTTAATATCAGACTTTAAATATTCTCCTTTCGGTTCTTTTAAATACAATCAAATAATTTCTTCAATTATCGATACTGACTTGGAATACTCCGCTTCGAATAAAATATTTCGAAATTATTTTGAAGGTTTAGGGAAATAAACATTTGAATTTTAGTCATCGTTGTTCTTCAGACTTGTCGAATAGGATATTGAAATGACTTTGAGAGGTTGCTTTTTCGTTACAGCATAATAATCAATATGTACTTTTCTTCCAGCAATTGAAATTAATTTGAAATTTTTCATATATTTTCTCTGATATTGAATTTATTTTATGACTTGCTATTTTGTTTACTAATAATTTACCATTCAAGGAATTTGCATGAATTGCATGTTAAGTAGTTAGTTGATTTATTATTGTATATTGTGAGATGATTTGGAACGAGTGCACTATGCCCACCCTAAATTAAACCGTCTCAGTAGTTTACCGTAATTAATAATCTATTTTCGGAATTTATACGAGAATTTTTGAATTTTAGTAAATACTAGAGTCAGTGCATCGCGTATTGAAATAATAGCTTCATCCCTAGTTCGTTTATTATTGAATATTTTTACGCGTTTAACTTATGCTTCTCCCCAATTCTCGTCGCGTATTTTATTCAAATTTTCTTATATTCTAGAATCGAAAAAGATACGAATTCGCGTTTTTTCTTTTGATTCTTTCAATTTTTCACTCGCGTTCTACGAAAGTTTAGTTCAATAATAATATTGAAAATAATATAAATTCGCGGTTTCTCCCTTTCTGAATAAATTTGAAATAAATCGCGTTTCGAAGTACTTTTCGCGTCGTCCATTCCACAGTGACTCACACTTTGTGAGTTTGTGAGTCTTGCAAAATCGATCGGAACTGCGAGGAAGGAAGGATGACGATCTGAGTGGAAGGAAGGAAGGAAGGAGAAAATGCAGTCAAATCCACGTTGCAGAGCTCACCTGTTTAATCAGCGAACGGTGAGTTACACAAATGGGTTTTTTTCCGGTGATTTGGTTTAGTAGTTAGTTGTGTTGTGTATTCCCAGCTCAAATATGAGCTGGCTCCCCCAAATTAAACCGTCTCAGTAGTGTTTCGCAATTAAAAATCGGTTTTCGGATTATATACGGGAATTTTTGAATTTTAGTAAATACTAGAGTCGTTGCATTGAGTATTATAATAGCTTCATCCCTAGTTCGCTTTATATTGAATATTTTTACGCGTTTAATCGATACCCTCCTTCAAATTTATTTGCGTTAGATATTCGGGAAAGATATCAATTCGCGGTTTATTCTTTTGCTTTATATACATAGCGTTTATTTCATATCTCTTTTCTTTTTTTTACG